TACACACATGTATACATATACACATATATGTGTGTATGATCTCCAGTCCTCTCATCACAATTTATACTCTCTTCTTTATGCTCTCTAGTTTGTCAGCTTTCTAAGATGTTGTGCCCAGAACTTAATAAAATACACCAGATATTGGGTTGACCAGTGCAGGTTATAGAGAAATTATTTCCTTCTTATTTCTGTATACTGTTTTTCTAAATACTTTTTTAAGATCCTATTTGTAATTTCTGGCTATTGTGTCACATTATTCACTCACATTAAACTTGTGTTCCACTAAAATCCCCAGATCTTTTTCCAAAGGTCTGCTATCTGTGCCTCCCCATTCTATTTAATATAATTTTTAAATTTCAGATATGAAACTTCACATTTTTCCTATTATATTGTATTTTATAATACTCAATCCATTGTTGTAGCCCATGGAAGTCTTTTGTAATCTTAGGATTCTGTTAGGAATGCAAAATGTGTTTTATTCCTACCCTTGTCAATCACTAAGCATGTTCTAACTTTTAGTAGCTGGCCCAAAAGAAGAGTCATTTTGCCTTCCCACAAATTGCATTGTTGAATTAGGCAGATAATTCTAGCCTAGATGGACCCATTTGTCAAGTTAATTTTTTTTTTTTTTACTATTAGTAGGGCCATCATTTAAGTACCTATGTGGAAAAATAACACAATAGTACATGTAACTGGGTCACATCTGATGGGAACAGGCTGAATTTCCTTAAAATGCTAAGTCTTAGAAAGCAATCATTTATTGGGAAAAATGGCCAAGACTTCTTTTCCCTTGAGACTGCATGCATACAGTGCTGGGTGATTGTGGCACAGGGACCTGATGGGAAGAAAACTTTGGGGAGAAGCCAGCTTTCAAGGTCAGTGCAAAGGCTAGCTGGGATTACAATGGTTTTATCCAGGAATCAAGAAATTCCAGAATGCTCCAGAGACCCTACAGAGCAAGCAGCCAGGTGCTGAGAACAGCAAGATGAGCCAAAATAGTATGCTACCAGCAGATATAATCTTCAAGCAAGTATGATTGAGAGAGACAGAGACAGACAGAGACAGAGAGAGACAGAGACAGACAGACAGAGAGATAAAGAGAGAATGAGATAGATGATCTTTTCCTGTTTTTCAGGAGATGTGGCATCTCAGCAAAGTTTTATACTTTGTATTATTATTTTTTTTAATGACAGACCTTTCTTTTGTCACCAAAATTTTGAGTTTTTTGTGTCTCTCTCTTTGCATTAGTGACTTTTTACACTGAGTCATCTGCACTTTGTCCCCAGTCTCCCTGTTGTGCCAATAGCATAGTTTTCTAGGATGGTCCTCTCTGCCCAACAAAGAGAGAATTTCTTTTGGAAAAGCTAAGCCAATCCATATAGGAATGGTGTCCATGACCTTGGTTTCCTTAGATACAGAATTATCAAATCTCAGAACTGGAAGGGCCCTAAGAGGAATTTGTCCATACCTCTAGACCTCTAGAGCAGGAGTTCTTAACCTGGAGTCCATCTATAGAGATTCCAACTGTCCTTCAAGGCACATCTCCTCCAAGAAAGACCATTTCAGATTATAATGACTTCTGAGTTCCTTCAGCATTTAGATTTAATAGTACTAGAAAATGTCATAAGACATAGTTTAAACAGTTTCTTTTATGTAAAACTTACCCCTTCCCTTACTAAAAGGCAAGTTTCTGAGGGCAGGTACTCTATATTCTGCCTTTTTCTTTTACTCCCCCAAACTCACTCAATTCCTAGGCAGAACTAACTATCTATAAGGAACTCTGTAGATTCTTGCCAACTGATTAATTGTTGACTTCCAGACCTCTCTCTCTTTAAGCCTGACCTATATTCCTCCAGGACCTGCATTTGTTTTTTATGGCTCTTTTCCTTAGCTTTTATCCAGAAAATTAGCTAACAAAAATTCAATTTGACTTAATTAACTGTACTGTGGAAATACAGCCCTGCAGTCAACTGACAGATGTGATAATTACTGGTAGGGAGAGCTGCAGGAAAATGTTGCTGTTATAAATTAGTCTTAGCCATTTCTAGAGAAAAAAAAACAGAACCTTTGACAGCCAAAGGGGGTGCTAGATTTACACCACACGTACAAATTCACAAGTATGGAAAACACTCCGGAGGGAAGAGGCCCAATACATAAATGGAAGGTGGGAGCAGGGAGGGAGTGTTTTAACTAGTTGGTGAGTCATATACATTAATATATTGAATTAGAGTTTGCAAACGCAATGGAAAGAAGAGCCAAAATACAAAGGAATAATAGTAATATAACCTGAATTTCTATAACACTTTAAGGTTTACAAAGCTCTTTCTTCACCGAGATCCCTGGAGGGAAATATTGCAAGTGTTGTCATTCTCATTTAACAGATGAGGAAAAAGGACTTGCAGAAATGTCTATGGGGCCTAGAATAAAGAACGACACTTGAAGAAGGAGAATAAAAGAGATTTGACCTGGGGGGGGGAAGTCAAATTGAGGCTGAAAGAAAATAAACTAAGATGTCTCTACTTGTCAAGTACACCCCAAATGCATTTTTTTCTAACTAGACATTGCCTCTCTATTTTTATCCATTAATCTATCAGTTCTTCCTTTTTTCTTTCTACACAGCTGTCCACACCTTCCATCCCCCCCCCCTCCTCTCCTCTTCTCTCCTCTCCTCTGTAACTATCACCACCTAACAACCTAGACCCCCAGGCAAAGGAGAGAAGACCATGGACTTCACTTGGGATGTGTGTCTTCTCGACTGAGAGCTGTGTCATGGCAGGACAGTGTGATGAACACAATGATAATAAAATAAATTTATATAATGCTTTCAAATTTGCAAATCTCTTCACATACATGGGCTCATTGGTAAAGTTGAAAAACCAGGCACTGTAGTAAGGAGGCCTGCTGTTAAGTCTAGGTCGGCTTTGCCACTTGCTAGCTCTATGACCTTGGGAAGCCATTCCCTTTCTCTCTGAACCTTACTTTTCTCGTTTATATTTTACCCTTGTCTGAAGCTGTTTTCTACTTCAGTCTAGAACTAATTCCCACCCCTCCCCCACCTGCATTTTTCTTCATTTTTAGGTAGCAAGTGTGGAACCAATAGCCCCAGAAGGTGTTACCACAGAGGGCAGCTGTCAGAGCTGATCAAGAGCACTCATTATTCTTTCTGGTGGGACTTAGAAAATGAGGTGCAGTGCCTTGTGGCATTCATTCCATTGACATTCACCTTTTTCACCTGTTCATTGATTCTCAGACTCCTGGGTACAGCTATGAAAAAGGGAAAACATGAGGAGGATGGGTCACTTTGAAAGGAATTTTTATGGGTCAGTCTATGAAATACTGAGTAGCCAATTCACTTTAGTGCTTGCATTGGAGATGAGAAGAAAAAAGCTGGTTTCTATGGTTGGCCCTGCAGACAATCAGCTGCTATATCAAGCACCAAGTTTACCTGGATTCTGGCAAAGAGTTGAGGCAGTCTCCACAAGAGCTGCAAGACAGGGTCAGCTTGATACAGCAGGGTGAGTCAATCACTGAGCATTTATTGTTTATTATGTGTCAGGTAGAGGCAGCTAGTGGTTCATCGGATAGAGGGCTGGGACTGGAATCAGGAAGATCTGAGTTCAAAGCTGGCCTCAGAAACTCAATAACTATATGACCTTGGGCATATCACTTAACCTCTATTTGCCTAATGTACTGGAGAAGGAAATGGCAAACCACTCTAATATGTTTGCCAAGAAAACCTTAGGAACAGTATTGGTGTGCTTGGTATCACAAAGAATTGAACATGACTGAACAACAACAAATGTGCCAGGCACTGTGCTAAGCACTGAAGACACAAAAAAACAGCAAAAGCAGTCCCTGCTTACAGAGAAAACAACATGTAAATAATTACATACATACCAGAAATTTATAAGAGTAGATAGAAGATAACCTTGGAGAAAAAGGTACTAATAGATGGGACATAGAGACAGGCCTCCAGCAGATGGTATAATATGAGCTGAGTTTTAAAGGAAGACAAGGAAATTATGAGGAAGAGGTGAGGAGAGAGATTATTCAGGTATGGGAGGATAACCACCCACCCCCCCCGCCCTCACCACACATACACGTAGCCAAGGGGATAATCGCCTTTGCCTGTTGCAAAGGTTTGGAGGTGGGGAAGTGTCATGTGCAAGGAGCAGAAAGTAGAACATTTAGGGTTAAGATGTGAAATACGTGGAGGGCAGTAAAGTGTAAAAAGACTAGAAAGCTAGGGAAGAGATGGGTTGTGAAGAGTTAAATGTCGAGCAGTAATAGGAATCAGCCCACTATTCTAGCTTGTCAAGATGATTTTTGGCTTCCAAATGTATTATTGTTAAGGTGGTGGCCATCCAGAGGAAAGAAACCAGCATGGTGACTATAGGTGAACAATGTTGTTGAATACAGGGGAAAGAAAACTCTGAGACCAAAACTGTTTAGTAAAACAACTTACAGTCATTTGCCCTACTGTGAGAATACAAGGGTAAATTATAGAAGACAGGCTAAGGGTATTGATTGAAAATTCATACTCTGCCATGGTGAGAGCAGTTTCACTCAAGGCACTATGATGTCAGTGCTATAACACTTTACTTTTCATTTTCATCATAGTAAAAACATTTTAGTCTATGTGTTGAATGAGTAATTGGGGATGGGGGGTGGGAGGGAAGGACTGATACACTGAGAAGTGAGGTGATTTGGAATCCAAGTTGGTAGGGAGCATGAGCCAAGGCAATTCTGAGTAATTTTTATTAAAATATCCTATCTGCTTAGATTTAAAATAGGGAGTCCAGGAACTCTAAGAGGAAAAGGCAGCGTATATGTTAATTCTGTTAGATAGAAAAGTTGGAAGTTTCAAGGATCACCTAGCAGCTTGCATCTTGAGCCTGTTGCTTCACACCACAACCTCTAGGGCTAGGAGAAACACCAATTCCCCAGACTGGATCCCAATCCCCCTGTGATAAAGTAAAAGTTTCATAGACCAGGTTAGCTTTAAGTTTACACCCATCTCTGATTTTATATAATTTTATAGCTAGGAAATGGAAAAGGAATCATTGGTTGGCCATTTGAATAAACCAAATGTATCTATCTATTCTTCCCAGAGTCGTTGTCTCCCATCAGTGACCTGAAGAAAGTCAACATTGCTCATCTTCTCTCCCAAAGCTGGAAAACAGAAGATGAACAAAAATGGACTGATGAGAGCAAATTTCTCTTTTCTCCAGCATTTCACTTCTTACTAAATCCCCACCTGCCCCTTATGCTGGCTTGAGTCATTGAACTCCACCGATGAGGAGAAAGTCTCATATCAATGGGCTTTGGGGCTTGGGTTACACCCAGATCCATTTTTCTAATTCTATGAAATATATCTTCATAAGGAGAAAGATGTCACTAATCATCCATTACTTACATTTTTGTTTCATTTTTATTTCTGTTAGACACTTGAGGCTCAAATCTACAATGACTACTAACTCTGTATTTTGATAACTATAGGCAAATGGTTTTTGATGCAGAACAAAGAATTATCCAGGTCCCTCTTCCTCTTACCATCCGTGGCCCCATATGCCACAAGAACTTGTCCCCTCTTTACATGTATTCAGACATTAACAAGGAGTAGTATATGCACCACAGTAGAGGAAATACATTAGGAAAGGCGATTCATATTGGTTGAAGACTGAATTGCTTCCATTTGAATTGTCTGAGGAAGATTCTGAAGATCACCTGGCAGTATAAGATACCAGATACTGAGGTTCTTTCTAGAACTAAACTGCCAAGCATTCAAATTCTACTGCAGAGAGCACAACGATGATTGACTGGACACATTGTTCAAATGCCAAATGTAAGCTTGCCTAAAAGACTATTTTATGGAGAACTTACACAGGTCTAGTGCTCACATGGTGGTCAGAAGAAGCAATACAAGGACATTCTCAAGGTCTCTCTTAAGAACTTTGGAATTGATTGTGTGATATGGGAGATACTGACACAGGAAAGCCCAAGATGTGCCCTCATCAGAGAAGGTGTTGTGCTCTATAAGCAAAGCAGAATTGAAGTAGCTCAAAGGAAATGTGAGATGCACAAGTTTAGAGAATCCACCACAAATGTTCACATGGACTATTTGTGCCCGACCTATGGTAGAGCATTCCAAGCTCACAATAGCCTGATCAGCCACAATAGGAGGCATTGTAACTTTCCTTCAACATAGTAATGTCATTTTGGTCCTCTTCAAGAACAAAGAACCACAACCAAATCATTCTATAGTAGACATCTATGACAGAATTTCTGTTACTCTAGAGCTATGTCAGCATTTGGAGGATGCAAGTTTAAAGTTTTGTAAAAACTTTGCTTTGAGCTAAATTATTAAACAATTGAATGTATCAATGAATCAATAAACACCAAACTACTACAATTTGAAGAGTTCTTAGAAAAAAAACTTTACACCATCCCTACAAAGTGTGTTGGAACAAAACAAAGATGTAAATTCAAAACGTGAAAAGTGTCCAAGCATTTTGGAAACTTTCAATATAAATCCATCCATGATCAATGTTAGATCTTTGGGAATTTTAGAGTGCTATTTTTTTTTTTTACAAGAGACAAATGAATTTAGCTACAGGAGGTTTTGAAAATGGGCCAGGACAGGCAGAGAACCAAATGTTTATGAAGTCATTTGGACAGCAGGAAAATTTGGGATAGTGGCTGGCTGACTGGTCCAGGCAAGTTGGGCCAATTTGAATACACAGAGGCAGTATGAGATTGGGGTCTGTGAATAATCCAGTTTGGCTGGGTCTTAGAGTATAGGGATGTAATGTGAGATAAGGTTAGAAAGGGAGTTTGAGCCAGGTTGCAGAGGGCCTCATAGGTTCAGATTCTCAAAAACTCAGAAATGGTAGGAACCTCAGGGTCATCTAGTACAACTTGTACTTGCATAGGCCTCTCCTCTACAACATCCCTGACATATCAGCTTCCACTTGAAGACCTCCCAGGGACTGAGACACTTATTTTCAAAGTAGTCCTTTCCACTTTTAAACAGCTCTAATGTCCATCAAAATTAAGCTTAAAATCTTCCTCTCTGTACCATCACCCATTGGTTCTAATTTTGCCCTGAATCCCAATCAAAAAAGAGGGGAAGCTACTTGAATCCACCTCCTGAGAGTTGCAAAGAGCTACTCATGTAATTGTGAAGGGAAATCATAACTAACACACAGTAACCATTGAAGAATTTTAGGAGCTGATGAATGTTTGAGAGCAGCAGGGACACAATTTCTCTGACTGAACTGAACTGTGACTAAGACTTCAAAAAGATCTTTGGTCAAGAATTGCTCATTGAAAGGCAAATTTATCCTTCCAAGAATCTGATGTGAGATCTACTTTGTTTTCTTTGACCTTTCAATAAAAATTTCCTTCTCAGATTTTGTGAAGTATCAATTTTCCTCTAGTACTTTCTTACTAGCTGTGTGACCATGAGTAGATTACTTAACCTTTCTGAGTGTCAGGTAGCTCTCTAAAATTACATTAAAGGGAGATTGCGATTCTGTAAAGGGAGAGTGAGATCCCACATGGAAGAAATCACAGATCCTTAAAAAGGGGACATGTTTGTAATGGGAGAGAAACAGAAGTACTATGTATATATTTTCCCATTTTCCCTAGGATCCAAATGGATAAGGAAATGACTTAAAGTATACCTGGGAGTTTCCTGTTATTAAACAAGTCTTTGACCCAGGATGACATCATTTTTAAAATTATTGATATTTTTAACTTAACATCAGCTTCACCTCCAAATATATCCAAGCTTTCCCTTGAAAACCATCCCTTGTATCAAGGAATAAAATAAAGAGAAGGGAGAAAAAAGCAAGTCAGTAAAAACTAATCAAATAACAACAAAATCTGATGGCATATTCAATTTTACAGACTATAATTCCATTCTAAAAAGAAGGGAGGGAAGTGAACTTTTTTTCTCTGTTCAGAAGGACCAAACTTGGTCATTATAATTATACACCATTCAATTTGGAGCTTATTTTTAATTATTGTTATTCTTTCCATTTCCATTGTTGTAGTCCTATGTTTGGTCTTCCTGGTTCTGCTTACTTAACTTTGCATCAATTCATATATCTTCCTATGTTTCTGTGAATTATCTATAGTTGCGACTTCTAACAGTTCAGCAACATTTTATTACACACAATGATTTTGTAACTATGATCTCTCAAGTCCTATCTAGCTCTGAAATGATATCCTATAATTATCAAATTTTAATCTTTCCATTTGATTTACTAGTAGATCCACTTGGTGCATCCTATGACTTTGATATGGACTCATTGTTTCTATGAAAGAAAATAACGTTTTCCCAATAACTTGTGCCTCTCTCAAGTGACTTCCTTAGTCTGAAATCCTAACACAACAACAACAACAACAACAACTAACTGGAATCTGTACTGTGAGATATTGTGTTGTATAGGTAGTTTTGTTTTGTTTTTTAACTTACAAATACCCAGGACATAGGAAAATAATTCCATGATTTTCTAGAAATGGTCTAAAGTTCATACTCTAAAGGAAATCACTGTCTCATTTGGAGATGAATATCATAGAATATAAAAATTCTAGAATTAAGAATTTTGGGAGATGGGGAAAAAGGTAATTTAAGAAAAGATGATCACTCTATTCTAAAGAAAATTTTTTAATGCCTAGCAACTCACAAATCCTCACTAAGTCTGTGTTTTACATTTTCTTAGCTATTCAGTTCAACTGTCAATATTTTGTAATCACTTGGACATTTTGTTTTGACACAAGATACCTCCCAACAAATGCCTAAAGAAATCCCCCACAAAATATATATCCCCCCGACAACTATTGAAACAGATTGTACATGGGCAATGGACAATGCCATAACTTGATGTTTATTAAGAAAAAGGAAGGGTGTTTTCTTTAACTCTAATAGATTGGTAACAATGCTGCCCACCATCTTTGACTCACATTTTGTTTGACTTATTTTTTTTTTTTGCCTTTTTAATATTGCCTTTATTTGTATCAACACATTCTTACATTCCTATTAAGTGCCAAGCCCCATGGTGGGTACTTGAGATAGAAGGATGAAATAAGATACCAGCCCAGCCGTCAGGAAGCTGAACTGTGTCATAGATTAAAATTATACAGAATTATATCATAGATTTAGAGTTGAAGGGGCTTCACAGAGCATCTAATCCAACCCTCCCTTTTATAGATGAGAAAACACTGTGGTTCAGATAATTGATGTACCTAAAGTCATATAGATGACTAGGATCACAACCCTGTTCTGAACTCACTTCCTCCAGTTCCAAGATCTTTTGACTCTACCACAGATTAAAGCCATGTTTCTTGATCTGCTTTCCATAGAAATGATTTTTCATGAAATAAAAAATAGCTTCAAGCATCTTTTTTTTTTCAGATGAAATCATCCCAAATCCCTTGAATTTCTCTCCAGAGACCCTCCTTTCTAATTATGGAAAGGCCTAAATACCAGCTCCCATTTCCATGACAGAGATGGGGCAGGATGTCTTTCTTTTTGTCAAATGAGGAAAATGAGGTTTAGGGGAATGACGTGTACAATTAGGCAGTAAGGTGACATAGTGGATGGAAGGTGAGGCCTGGAGTCAGGAAAACCTGAGTTTAAATCTGGGCTCAGACACTTACTAGCTGCATGATCCTGGAAAAGTTTCTTAACTTCTGTTTGCCTCAGTTTCCTCATCTATAAAATGGAGATATTAACAACATCTACCTTACAAGGTTGTTGTGAAAATCAAAAGTGATAATATTTACAAAACATTTAGCACAGTTCCTGGCACATAGTGGCACTTAATAAATGTTTAATCCCTTCTCCCTATATAAGTAGCAGAGCCAGGATGCATATGTGTATGTGTATATATGCATGCACGCACACATGCATGCATGCACATATATATATATGTATGTGCATGTATATGCATGTAAGTATGTATATATGCATGTGTGTATATGCATACATGTGTCAAATATGTGTGTGCATATATATACACATATATACATACACACATATGTACATAGCACACACATCTAGATATACATATATATATACACACATAATATACACATATATGTGTGTATATATGCAAAGAGAAAGAGAGAGAAAGAGAGAGAGAGACCCAGTTAGAAGAGTTGTGGTGGTCATATATATTATATTACGTTATGCTGTGTTATATTGCATGTAATTATATATTAAATAATTAGACATATAACTTTATAATATACCATGTAATTATAAAATATAGTACATTGATAGAATAATTGTGTATGACATAACAATAATAAAATACACATATTTGTATACTTCATTATATATTATATATCTTATGTTTAATTATTTGTGTATATTTTGGCCATGTTTCATTTTACATATATGCATATATTTTACATGTATGTATATATACATATTTGTACATCTGTGTGATGCATATATGTACATAATTAGACATGTGTTTACTTATGTACATACATGTGTATATCTATATATGCGTGTATATGTGTGAGTGTGCCCTTAAAGAAGGTGGTATCAGGAGATCATAGGTTCCTCAGGTTTAGAACTAGAAGGAATCTCAAAAGATCATTTAGACCAAACTCTTCATTACCATCGTCATCATCATCATCATTACTACTACTACTACTTTAACTACTCCTGATCACCCAATATTTTGCTTTTTATAATAATTTCCAAATCAATAACGCAGTATCATAGATAAAATATTTTGTATTTTTCAAGTTATATGATTATTACCTGAATCTCATGCTTTGAAGTGACTTTGTTATTTTTGCTTTCTCTTTAATTCTTCTATTTTAAAAATTGCATTGATGTTTATACATAACTTCATTTCTGAGCATATTTCTTCCTCTTCCCTCCTCAAATGAATTTCCCTACAACAAAGAGAAGAGAAGAAAAGAAGAAAGGAAAGAAGGAAGGAAGGAAAAAGGAAGGAAGGAAGGAAGCAAGGAAAGAAAGAAGGAGGGAGGAAGGGAGGGAGGGGAGGAAACAAGCAGGGAGGGAGGGAGGGAAAGAGGGAGGGAGGGAGGGAGAGAGAGAGGGAGGAAAAAGGAAGAAACAAAGGAAAAGAAAGAGAAAAGAAGAAAGAAAGAAAGAAAGAAAGAAAGAAAGAAAGAAAGAAAGAAAG